ACATGTGATGTAAAGTTTGTTTTTTAAAAAAAAAAAGACATATGAGTTTGGAAAATTTTCTCCGACCATGGAAAATGGAAGAGAGGGACATAGTAGAAAGGGAAAAGAAAGAAGATGATGCAGAGCTTTCGTTATGGAAGGAAATTTCCTTGTTTAGCCCGTGTTCAGCTGCAAAAAAAGTTTCCAAAAAATGTTACAGTATCCATCACATCGAATCTTATGATATATGCATAGAGTATTAAATGTAGATGAAAAAAAAACTAATTACACAGTTTGGTGGGAAATTGCGAGACGAACGTTTTGAGCTAATTAGTCCATGATTGAACACTAATTACCAAATAAAAACGAAAATGTTACAGTAGCCAAATTCCAACTTTCCCCTCAACTAAACAAGGGCTTAGTCCAGACTCTGCATAATGCTGCACTTTCTTTTTCTCGCGAACAGGATTGTGCATAATGCTGCACTGCACACGATCATTCATGATTACACGTATTAGCCTGGCTGATGTAGAGCTAGCATCCGGATAATGGGATTCTTGAACGTGAATAAGAAAAACTTTGGCCTTTATTAGGTGTGGACGGTCCAGTTGTTAACGGGAAAAACAGTCCGGCCCTCGTTAAACTTTCATTCAGGAAGCCGGAGATTGGAGGCCCCTGGAGCTAATCAAGTGGCAGACAACCTTTCGATGCTAATATAATGATGCACTTCAACGGAAGGAAGGTCTCAACTTTGCCCTCCCGTCAGGACCACGGTCGATTTCCTTATCGTGTCCACAATCAAGTGATCAAGTGCTAGCACAAACAAATCGATGGAGCAAAAAAAACCCCAAACATACCAAACTACAACTACAGCTCAGTCGGGTGAAACTGCAAGGCACAACGTACTCTGGAGATTTGACGAGCGAGGCGAGGCGCACTAGAAACAAGTGCAACTCGCAGCCACCAGACGCGTGAGCCGGCCGGCCACCGTGCTGAACTCGTGCTGGTCCCCGGCGACGTGCCACGCCACGCCCCGCTCCTCCCCGAATCTCCGTCGATCAGGATTCCTGGCTTGCGGGCCCCGGTAAGCACAGTTCCCTGGCTGGCTGGCCGCCGTCGCCATGCCACCAAACCGGTGTCACCTCGAGCTGTGATCTTGGACCCATTCCTTGCGGTTCCCAGCAGTCCCATCCGTGCGTTTGGATCCTGTCCCGTCCCTCCCCAACCGTAGCCGTAGCTAGCCTCTCTGTCTGTCCACCTTCTGCGTTGCGTGATATAGGAATAGGATCACGTCCACCTCCCTCCCCACGCAACAAGCGCGCTGGACTTTCGTCCGCGATGAAGCTCATGAAGCTCGGCACGCGGCCGGACTCCTTCTTCACCTCCGGGCACGTCAGGTACTGCCTCTGCCTGCCTCCCGATTCGTTCCGTCCGTCCCAAGCTCCCAATGGATGGTTGCTTTTCTTCTCTGAAACTGGTGTGTCTCGTCGACGATGTGATTCCAGGTCTGTCTACACGGAGGTCGCCACCGACCTGCAAATCCAGGTGGACCACTGCCTGTTTCGACTCCACAAGGTAGACGAGACTTGTACTATTCTTTTGTTTTATTCATTCATTCAGATGTTCGGTTCTGAACACGTTTTTGCTCAATTTCCGTTTTTTTCGTTTGCCGTGCGCCGTTGAACTCGTCAGTTCCCTCTACTCTCCAAATGCCTGCTGCTACAGGCTCTGTGCGCGGACTCCGACGCCGTCGAGCTGCCGGGCTTCCCGGGAGGCGCGGAGGCGTTCGAGGCCTGCGCCAAGTTCTGCTACGGCGTGGCCATCACGGTGGGCGCGCACAACGTCGTGCCCCTGCGCTGCGCGGCGGGGCGCCTCGGCATGACGGAGGCCGTCGACGGCCGGGGCAACCTCGCCGCCAAGCTCGACGCGTTCCTCGCCTCCTGCCTGCTCCGCCGCTGGAGGGACGCGCTCGCCGTGCTCCGCTCCGCCGGCCGCTGCTACGCCTTGGCGGCCGAGTGCGAGGAGCTCGGCGTCACGTCACGGTGCGTCGAGGCCGTCGCGATGCTCATCACGGACCCCGGCGGCAACGGCAACGCGGCCGCGCCGGCCAGGGCCAGCTCCTCGTCGTCGCCGTGGTGGGTGCGTGACGTCTCCGACCTCCGCGTCGACCTCTTCTGGCGCGTCATGGTGGCCGTCAAGGCGGCTGGCACCGTCAAAGGGAGAGCCGTCGGCGACGCGCTCAGGACCTACGCGCGCCGGTGGCTGCCGACCGTTGTCAAGAGCGGGTACCTGGTGGTGGAGCAAACCGACATCAGCGCGGCCGACGAGGGCAGTTTCGAAGTGGTCGCCAGGAACAGCCAGCTTCTTGTCGAGAAGATGACGAGCTTGCTCCCCGCCGAGAGGAACGCCGTCTCCTGCAGCTTCTTTCTCAAGCTTCTCAAGGCGGCCAACATCCTGGGGGCCTCTCCCGCGTCCAAGGCAGAGCTCACCAGGAGGGCGGCGTTGCAGCTGGAAGACGCCAACGTGAGCGACCTCCTCATACCGTCGTGCTCGAGCGAGACGATGTACGACGTGGACGCCGTGATGGCCATCCTTGAAGAGCTCGCGCTGCGGCAAGCGGCGGCGGCGGCGGCGGCGGCCCCGGAGGCAAGCCCGCCGCACGCGCGCGGGCACAGACGGTCGCGGTCCGCCGAGAGCTCCGAGTTCGAGGGAGCGCGTCGGTCGACGTCCGCCGCGGCGTCGCACGGCGCGATGGTCAGGATCGGGAGGCTGGTCGATGGATTCTTGATGGAGGTCGCCAAGGATCCCAACCTGCCGCTGGACAAGCTGATCGCCATTGCCGAGGCCGTGCCGGACTGCGCCCGCCCGGAGCACGACCATCTTTACCGAGCAGTCGACACTTATCTCAGAGTACGTGGAAATGGAAACAAACAGCATCATTTCAGCCCGATTGATTTTTGACGCCTCATTGTTCTTGGGTTCGATTTACGCAACTAACAGGTGCATCCAGAGATGGATAAGGGTTCGAGGAAGAAGCTGTGCAGGGTTCTCAACTGCAGGAAGCTCTCCGAGACGGCGTCCATGGACGCCGCCCAGAACGAGCTGCTGCCGCTCCGGGTCGTCGTGCAGGTGCTCTTCTTCGAGAACGCACGCGCGGCAGCGGCGCTGTCCGGCCGCCCCGGGCCAACGGCCGCGTCGCCGGCGTGGCGGGTGGCGTCAGGGCGTTGCTTGTCAAGACAAGGAGGGAGGCAGACGGACGGCGAGGAGGCCAAGGACGAGCAAAGGCTCCGGCGGGGCCTCGCCGCCGCGCCTGGCCCTGACGACAACGACTGGAGCGTGGAAGGGCTGAAACGCTCGGCGTCGAGGATCTCGACCCTGCGGATGAAGCTGGAGGAGGACGAGGACGCGGACGACGAGGCGTTCGTCGTGCACAGGGCGCGCGCGGGGCTGGTCCGGAGCGCGTCCGCCCGCGTCAGGGCGCTCTGCGCCATCCCGGCTGGGAAGCCCAAGCGGATGCTGAGCAGGCTGTGGCCGTCGAGCTCGAGAAGAGCTGGTCACTGAGAGGCATTGAGAGACCTGCACGGGAGTCGAGAGCAATGCGGTGGCAGATTGATCGATCCAGGCACAACATTCTGGTCGCGAAGGCTGTGCATTTGTGTACAAAAAAGTGAAAGAGAACGCTGCAAATACTCAATTTGATATGCCACACTCAAATCTATGGTTGTTTGAGAGTCCTATATATATGATCTTTCAAAAAGAGACTCCTACGTATATATTTTTTTTTCAATGAGAAAAAAGGGATAAAAACGTTGAATATCACACTGGTGCAACATTTGCCATGTTTACATTTGATTCCAAAATACACTAAAATGAGTTTGGATATAGAGTAGTTAAATCAACCACAAAATTGTAAAATGTTTCTAAAACTTGTGCTCGGCATCAGTAAAGCTGTCAAACATCCATGGACGGTAAAGACAGGAAACGTAGCACTTTTCCGGTTCTCCCCATGGAAAATGTGAGCCGGAAGGCGGGCTTTGCTGTGCTAATAAGCCAAGGGAACAACCATTGGCAAATGATGGTTGGATTCTTTGGAGGACAATATCAAATGATTCTTTCACTTTGCACCTACCTTTAATCCCTCTCCTGGAGGCGCCGGTATCATTGTTCATGAGCTCTAATCCCACTACATGCCGGCATATGATTGCAGGTATCAACTTTTCAGAAAGGAGAATGTAACAGAAGAAGAATCATAGGTGCACAAAATCGTGTGTACATGCGTAACAGATGAAGCATACGCCACGCCAGCAGCTTCTCGCAAGTTGCAAGTGTGCATATGCGCTTAATTACACTACATATGGCATGTGGCGCCATGATCTCCGTCCGGGAAAAGGGAGGAAGAAGAGCTGATCAGCATGGGCAGACTTTTCTCAGGTCGCCTACAGATTTGGCTTCTTGCCCCGTTGCTCTCATCACTATCATAGCATCTAGCAGCATAGCGTCAATCAAGCCTTCGATATGATTCTGCAAATCGTTTTTCTCCCCAAGGATTGGTCATGTCTTTGGACAGGACATTAGTGGACTTCCGGTCACTGGATGGGAGAGTGATCTCTGATCTGGACAGGCACTCTTCCTAAGAGGCATCTCATCTGAAGGTACTACATGCTGTTGGTGTTGGGTGGTGGCACCAGGCCAAGGGTGGTTTCAGTTTCAGCGTTTCAGCCATCCACTGAAAGAAACCAAGAAATGTCCTCGTCCTCGTGGCTTCAAATCGAACGAACTTCCACTGATATGATATATATAACCTCAACATGACAAATGAACGTGTCCGGATTAGCCACGAATGCCTTCTCCCCTCCAAAATTGCGTGCAAGTGCCGTTTGATATCTTCTCTCTCGAGGATTTTGTGTTTTGCATAACTGAATTTTTATGTGCTAGTAATATTGTAATCCTTCTTCAGCTTATAGAACAGACCTAATGTCCAGACTGAAGTTTATGCCAAGATTCTTCAGAGGCCCTCGGTGTCAGCGAGGCCCCTGCACGGGCCACAGGGCGCGCACGAGCTCGGCGTGGCAGGCAAGGACGGCGGCCAGGGCGAGCCCCAGCAGCGCGGCCCCGACGGCGACCGGCGCGCTCTGGACCACCCAGCACGCCATGCTCGTGGTGACCGCCATGGCGACAGACCACTGCAGCACCTGCCCGGCCGCCCTGGCCGCCCACCTCGCGCGGCGCCCGCAGACGCCGGCGCCGCTGCCCTCCGGGAGCGCGCACAGCGCCAGCAGCGACGTGAACAGGCAGAAGCTGGCCAGCTGCGACGCGAAGACAGCGAGGAGCACGTACTCCTCGCGCGCCGCCAGCTGCGCCGCGAAGGCGGCGCCTGCCACCAGGACCACAAACGCCAGCGTGCGCGTCGCCGTCGGCGAGGCGCGGGGTAACGCCTCGCAGTCGCAGTCGCAGGCGTCTCCCGACGGCGCCTTCGTCTCGGCCGCCGTGGGAGGCAGCAGCAACGGCTGCTGCTTCTCCACGTCGGCGACCGGCTCCCCCGTCTTTGCTTCCGCTGATTCCATTGCGCACGTTGCGCGTGGAGGTGGAGCTGCACTGACAGAGCCGTGCAAGAGCAATAGATTTATATATATTGGAATATTGGATACACCGTCGCCGTCGCCAAGCAGAAATGCAACAAATGCATAAGCAGATAAGCGCCTCCACGGCAGAAACAAGGAAGACAAGTCACAATGAGCAGAGGCTCCATAAGAGAGCGATCTTTACAAGGCCAGGAATGAACACACATCTGAGTATCTTAAGCAGTGACTGGAGATTAATCAAAGAGGTAATGACATTTGAATTGGTACATAAATCAGAACGAAACAAAAGGAACATCGTGCACGATGTGATCCCAGCCTAAAATTTTGACCAAACAGCCAATAATCTGGCCACCAATCCTTCCCCCATTTCTCTCCAAGGATAGGCCATGTCTAAGCACACTTTTGTTGCGAAATCTCGCCATGATTTCCAGTTAGTGCTAGGCTATGACACGACCAGGTGTTTTGGTGGACCATTTCTTTGAATGTCCGATGTCCCCATAGCTGCATAGATTTGCAATAATGCAGATGATTCTTTGAATACAAGGAAACAAAAAGGCATCTTATCAATTTGTGCGCGGTACATGGTTCGGTCAACCGTAAGTTACCTCTGTTCATATGCAGCCATTCATTTAATAGTTATGACTTTAGATGAGAAGCACTTGACGGCAAGTTCAAATAAACACACGACTACCTCAACTGTGCAGTTCGATAAAGAAATCATGAGCCAAAACTAAGGCTTCAGCCTGTAGCTTTGCGCTTCAGAGGGAGGACAGAGGATACTGAGTACTGACTGGTGAGTATCATTAACCAATGCCCATGGCATGCATCGCTTATGTACATAGACTATGCCAGTAATTCGTCCAAACAGGAAATAATGCAGAAGTCAGAACTAAACCCCAGACAGCAGTCAACCAGACACCAGCAAGCCCACAGAAACCAGAGGTATCACCGTATCAGAACCGTAGAAACCTTTCATTCTGGTTCTTCAGTTTATACTTTATATAAACAGAAAGGGGCTAGGACCACACAAAGTGCAGACAATATGATGCTGTCCATGACTGTCAAATGGAGGGGTATGATACTGTGATTACAATTACTCTGCTCGCCACTTTTTTGGACAAGACACATTGTTAAGATTCACCTTGCTCAACTCATTAGCAGCGAGTCACAATTGTCACTTTTAATATAATCAGATTAATACTCCCTCCATTCCAAATTGTAAGTTGTTTTGGCTTTTCTAGATTCATAAGCTTTACTATGCACCTAGAAAAGCCAAAACAACTTACAATTCGGAATAGAGGGAGTAGAATATATGAACGTAGGGAACAGAGAAACAAAAAATAAACAAGATGAGTTGTAATCTAACCAGATTGAAAGGAGACTTCACTTGCTATTGTTCAAAGTCTTCAGAACATCAAGTATGCCTTTTTCATTCATCCTTAATGTTTACAGGTATTCGTCACAGATTGGCTGAAAGCACGGTTGACAAAGGCCTACAACTTTGTTAAGGGCCACTGGTGCACAAAATGCTAGTGTCATCTGGCCCTCATTGCCAATGCTGCTAATCATGAAACGTACAACTTGTACTCACTGCTTCTGTCAGGAAATGCTATGGCGTTGTAAAATGCTATTGTAATCCAGCATATGTTGGACAAACAAGTCCTTGGTCCACTGCGAACAATGAGCTTATGCTCTGCTTCCTAGCAAGCTCAAGCTTTTGCAGCATCTGCCGCAGCCATTCGCTCATCTTCAGTGGTAAGTCCCTCAATCAGGGAGATATATGTGCTGTCATCTGGGGTGATGACCTTCCCCACCATCTCTTTCATCAGGTTCTCAGTGTCGTCTCCCTGTCCATTCTTGCACAACCCCTGTATAAGCGCATTATATGTCAAAAGTGTTGGATTGAACCCCTTATCCAACTTCTCATCCCGGACTCTCAAAGCGTCCTTTATGTCACCCTTCATGCTATAGCCGCTGATCAGTGTGTTATAGGTGACAAGGTCTGGCTGGATACCCCTCTTTGTCATCTCATCAATGAGCCTGCGAGCTTCATCAAGCCGCCCAAGCAAGCAAAAGCCCCTCATCAGTGTATTGTATGTCACATCATCCGGAGGGATCCTCTTCTTCTCCATCTCTGCCATGATCTCATATGCTCTTACCATATCTCCACCTGTGCAGTGGCTATTGATCAGAGCATTGTACATGACAACATCAGGCCTGATGCCCTTCTTCACAGCCACTTTAAATAACCTATCCGTCTCCTGAACTTGCCCTTTCCTGGAGAAAGCATATATCAATGACGTGTAGGTCACTGCAGTTGCACGCACCCCTTTCCGAGACATCTCCTCAAACACCTCCAATGCTTTCTTCTCATTGCCCTCTTTGCAATACCCATTGATTAGTATGTTATAAGTGAAAACGTCTGGGTAAAGACCATTCCTCTGCATCTCCTCAAGCACAGCATAAGCATCTGATGCACGTCCATCCATGAACAACGCGAGCACAAGTAAATTGTATGTAGCAACCGTCATGGCAACCCCCCGCTGTACCATATCCTCCCGGTATTGCAGAGCCACATCCAGTTTGCCCCTGTCACAGTAGCCACCGATCAATGCGTTGTACATCACCGCAGATGGTGCCACCTCTCCCTTAGTCAGCATTTCGTCGAACACCTTCGCGGCGTCCTCCATTCGGCCGATCTTGCACCACCCAGAGATCAGCGTGGCGTAGGTGCACTTGTCGGGAGCAATCCCTCCGCGCTCCCGCATCTCGCGCATGACCTCCAGCGCCGCCTGGACACAGCCGCGCTCGCAGAACCCGGACGGTGTTGTAGGTGACGGCGTTGGGGCGGGCCATCTGGCGGAGCAGCGCGAGCGCACGCACGGGCTTCCCCGTGGCGCAGAGGTGGCGGAGCATGATGTTGAAGGTGGTGGTGCAGAGCGGTAGGCGGAGGCGGTAGATGTCGGCGAAGAGGGCGAAGGCCGGGGCGGAGAGGAGGGAGGAGAGAAGCGGGTGGAGCGAGGCGACGGGGATGGGGACGGACAGCGACTTGAGCAGCGCGTAGAGGCGGAGGGAGGTGGCGGAGGCGGTGAGGAGGAGGTGCGGAAGCGACGGGGACGCGGCGAGGTGCGGGAGCACGGAGAGCGGGCACAGGGCACGGTCCGCGGAAAGCGCCGACTTGAAGAGCGCGAGCGCAGCGGCCGGAGTCGGAGACGCGCGGGCAGCCGCCATGGAGGCGGAGTCGAGGGCCTCTAGCGACTACCCGTGTGTAGTCAGTCGGGTCGGAGTCGGACGTCACGCACGTTAGGCTCTGGCGCCCGTGTTCGGTTGCTAGGAGGCGGCTTGTCTAAAAACATTCATCTTTTTTTTTTAGCGTAGACGCGGCGTCCGTTTGTCTGGACAGCCTCACACTCGTCCACGAAGTAGACCCTGTCCTCGCCCACGCCGCCCTTGCTCGCGCCCCCGCTGTCCGCCCGTGCCTGAAGCGCTAGACGCTAGCTCGCTCCCAGACTTCTCTTATCGTGGCCGTGCTCCATCGGCTTGCTCCTGTCCGCGTCGAGATCCATGACGCTAACGAGCTTCACACGGGTGACCTCCGCGCCACTCCACGGCTTCGAGCTTCGTGCCGACGTCGAGCTCCGTGTTGACGAGCCTCTCTTTATCCAAGTAGGAAGCAGATGCTACGCTAAAAGTGTATATTGCAATAGTATGTTTTAATTGTTTCAGATGTTTTCAAGGTACGTTGCAGGTGTTGTATATCGATGTTGCAAAAGTATATCGGGATGTTCCACATATTGTAATTGTTATACACGTATATTTTAAGTGTATATGTTCCAAATGTTTCATGTGTTCTAGACGAATGTTGTAAGTGTTTTGTCTAGATGTTGCTAAAATAGATCTAGATGTTACATATACATGTATGTTGCAAGCATATGTTTCAAGTGTTTTCAGCTGTTTCATACGTGTTTGCAAGTTTCTTCTGAATGTTGCATATGTTTGCAATGGTTTTCAAATGTTTTTCAGACGTTTTCGCAAGTGTTTAGTATGCTTGTTTCAAGTGTTTCATATGTCTTCTTTTGTATGTTGCAACTGTTGCATATGAATATTACAAAAGTAGATCGGAAGTTGCACATGGGATGCACGTAGGAAGCAGCCGCCGGCGTGGCCGACGTCCGGGGCGGCGCGGGACTATTACTATTGCGCTCCCTCACGAGCCTGACGCGCTAGGCGCTTGTTTACTCCCTGCGCGGGCAGCATCTAGATCGGACGTCCGAGCGCTACCAAGTCCGTTTTAGAAAAAAAAGATACTTCTTGTTCGAGAAAAAATAGGAGTATGACAGAGTAAAATACACAGAACAGTCGTAATCTCGTAACTAAATGGACTGTAGTCTATAGATTGGCCAACTCAATAACTTGTCAGCCTGGCTTATCAAATATGGTACGGTGTTTTTCTCTCACAACAAAACAACATTAGCCGACTTATCAGCTGCAAAAACCATCAGGCTCTAGGTCGGATACTGATTAACTCAAATTGTGCTAATGATTTTCTTAACGAGTGCAGCCCCAGTCATAATCCACTGCAGAAAGGTACAACATCTATTCTTATTAGGATTATGAAAGAATATTTATATCTCACAGTCACAGATGATAATTGATAAATCAAGCATAGATTTGTTACGGCAAAATGGTAAGTATACAGGCAAAGAGCGTACCGGAAGGATGATCAATAGAACATCACCTCGGCGACTACCGTGCTGCTTAGTAGTGAATAGACCCTATTGGTTGTGTTTTTCATCTTCCTAGTATAAAGGTACGTAGCTCTATTGATCATTAGTGTGATTGAGAAAAATAAGCCCATCAAACCACTAAGCTAAGAAAAATATTGATCATTAGTTGATTCAATCCCCTCGAGAGCATCTTTGATTTTGGATTTTCCCCAATTTTCTCCCTTTTCTAGGTTTTCATAATTTTTTCTGGAATGTGCGTGAAAGGCTTAATATTTTTGAATAATCCATGAGCTATGGAAAGGTACAACATCCATTCATTCATGTTACGATTCATGAAATAATGTTTATTTCTCATAGATAGTAAATTCATTATGATAAAATTGGGTGACTTCTTACAACAAACCTGGGGCTCTGTTCGGCTTGTTGGAAAAACGGCTGATGCTGATGCTGATTTGTTGTAAGAGAAAAACACTGTTATTTTCTTGAAACGGTATGGCTGATGAGTTCAAACGAACGGAGCCCTTAAGGCTGAAAACATTTGTCCAAGGGTTAATGTATGAATAAATGATCAACTGAATTCTTATTTTCAGACTAAGAAAAGCCTACGGCAGGGTGACCTACTATATATCACCAATTTTATTCAACATTGTGGTAGATATGTTGGCTATCATTGTTGTTAGGGCCAAAGAGGATGCTCAAGTGAAAGGGGTAGTGCGTCATTTGGTAGAAGATGGTCTGTCTGTCTTACGGTGCACTGATAATACTGTTATTTTTATGGACCATGATTTCGACCAAGCAGAGGAATATAAAATTACTTCTTTGCACCTTTAAACAATTATCGGGTATTAAAATTAACTTTCATAAAAGTAAAACCTTTTGCTTCGGTCAAGCCAAAGAATGTGAGGCATAATACTTTCAATTGTTTGGTTGCAAGTTGGCTCATTTCCTTTTTGCTATTTAGGAAAGTTAAATAATAAGGACTAGAAGGAGATTGAAAATAGAATAAAAAAAAGCTCAGCGGTTGAAAAAAAATTGTCTTCTGAAGACCAACTCAGTTCTATCTAGCCTACCTCTCAGCATGCTATCTTTTTTTAGGTCCTATAAGAGGAGTACTTAAAATAGATCAAAACTTTTCTGGAAAAATATAGATTATTTTAGATCAAAACTTTTCTAGCAAAATGAGCAACATAAAAAGAAGTATAGATTAGTTAAATGGAATATTCTTTGTCAGCCAAAGGAGCAAGGAGGAATAGGAATTGAGAACAAAATGTTCTTTTGGTTGTAGTACGAACTGTCACACGTATACATACCCTTTTTCATCAAAAAGTCAATAAATGAATTTATCATCTATGAGAAATAAACATTATTTCATGAATCATAACATGAATGGATGTTGTACCTTTCCATAGTTCATGGATTACTCAAAAATATTTAGCCTTTCACGTGGATTCCAAAAAATTAGGAAAACTTAGAAAAGGGAGAAAATTTGGGAAAATCCAAAATCAAAGATGCAGGATTGACTACCACAAGACATACTAGCTAGATTATAAGCCTCTCCTAGCCTAATACAAAAGGCCGAAATCAAATAGTATCTCTCTCCTTCTCTGTCTCTAACCCTAGCCTTCTGCCCTTCTCTCAACACCACACAAAATGAGAGAAAACCCCAAAGGCTTGGCTTCCAAACCAGCCATCTCCCATATATATAGACACTTGGCTATTTTCTATGTTGCCCTTACATGAAACACTCAAGCCAAATACCCCTAGGGGTAAACCGTCTAGGTTGTCTTCACCAATCCAACGGACTGGCTCCTTCTCGACTTTGCTTCGTCTCAACGCAAGCTTCAAGACGCCAGCATGTGTCCGCCGATCCACTACTCCATGTTTTTGAGGCCCAAATCGGTTAAAACCGCATGCACGCCTCGCAAGGTGTGACTCACCGACGTTGACGTGTGTCCGACCTCCACTATGGCTGACGCCTTCACCTTCCTTTTTGAATTTACTGACGCCATCTTCATCACCCATGTAGATGTGTGTTCGACCTCCGCCAAGTTCCACATCGCCAACCTCCTCCTGCTTGACTTGGCTGACATTGTCTCCATCACCCATGCACTCTTGCTTTCATGTGCCCAATGTGAGCCGCACATGGTCTGTTCTTCGACCTCTGGTCCCTCGGTCTATGGCTTGTTGTCCAACCTTCACCGTTCCCGGTCCATTGAGCGCGGGCTCCGCACTTGGCCTTCTCCACCATCGTCAAGTGACTTGGCACACCCAACACCTACACATTTACAAGCCAAGAGATATGTTGCACAACACATACGACACAACTTAACACGACACCTCCGATTGGACATTAGCATAATCAAGCACATATGAATATAAACACAATCGGGGAAGCCTCAAACCTCTCAACTCTTGAGTCAATCATTCATCACAAATGGATGATACCTGGGTACTTCTGAACTTGTTCTCTCACAGTCACTATTGTAGTAACAAAAGAGTACTAGGGCTCTGTACATGCCATCCAAATTGGTGAATCTTGCTTACCAATTTGTAACTACTAACCAAATGTCAAGCAAGGTGAAATGTCAGACAGAGTGCTCTCTTTCTATTTATCCTCGTGGCGTGTTTGTTGTGGAATAGCACTCTTGACAAAGCACAAATTCAAATGAAGGAGTAGGAATGGATGGCACAGTTTGACTCTTCCTTTTAGGTGGGTACGACACTGGCCTTTGTTTGCTCGATTATAATGGGACATAATGTGGCAATGATTGGAAAAAGTCAGCATCTCCAAAATTGCATGCCAATGGGTCCATGGGTGTCCCTTGGTCGAATGAGATGGTGAGATAAGGCAAGTCTCAATGCATATTTTATGGGGTTTCATGCACATTAAATAGGGTGCCACATCAGCAGAAATAGAGCTTTTGCATGTATCGAGGAGGAGAGGGAAGAGAAACATTCCATGGGGACAAAACAAGTGAGCGTTGTTTCCAAAAAATGTTGGAAACCACGTGAAAACCCCACTGAGAACCTTTGTTTGTTTCATCCGTGCGCGACTTCTTCGTTTGGGCGTGGACGAGGCCGCGGCTGCTGGAGGGGATGGCGGCGCGGGAGGGCAAGGCAGCATGGGAGGCCGCTACCAGAGGGGAAGGCGCGGGCTCCATCAGCCGCGGGCACGAGGGCAGCTGCGGTCGCGAGCTCCGCCGGGCGCAGTGGAGGCGGCGGGGCAGCCTCGCCCACAGCTCCTCCGACCGGGCGCGATGAAGGCGATGGGGCGGCCTCACCTGCAGGTGTTCCAGAGAGGCACCATGGAGGTAGCCGGGCCTCACCCACCAGCGCCCTCTCCTAGAGTCGTGCCGACCAGCTCACGTCATGGAGGAGGCATAGGCTGAACTGGCCACGGGCATCACGAGTGTGAGGTCACCAATGGCGTGCAGCAGCGTCACGGGCATCGCGAGCGTGAGGTCACCAATGGCGTGCAACAGCATCATGGGCGGCTGGTGTGAG